ATCCGTACCATACTTTTTTCAAACCATATCATAATCTCATATTTTAACAAAATTGAGCATTGAAGTAGCATATTCTAGTTTGCGTAAGCAATATCAAACCATACTTTCTTACAAATGACAGCATAGTATCATTTTATGATTTATTTGCGTCATGTATTTACATGTTTTGGTATTTTCATGCAAATTCGTACCATATTTTTTTTCAATCCATACCATCGAACCATATTTTTTAAAAATTGTGCATTGAAGTACCATATTTTGGTTAGCGTAAGCAATAATAAGCCATACTTTGTTACAAATCACAGTATAGTGTTATTTTTAGATTTACTTGCGTCATGTATTTACATGTTTTGGTATTTTTATGCAAATTTGTACCATACTTTTATACCAACTATATCATCATACCATATTCTAAAAAGAATGAGCATTGTAGTACCATATTTGGTCTGAATGAACAACTTTAAACCGTATTTTGTTACAAAATGCAGTATAGTATCATTCTTTGATTTTTTGCGTTTTGTATTTGTAATTTCTGCTCATGGGTTATTATCCGCACGTCGGAACATATGAAGAGAGATAGTAAGACTATAACTTTGGTTTCATCAATGTGGCGGCTAGGAAGCCACTGCATATTTCCATAACAATACCGATTCTTCTAAGCATCCAACCTTTTGTGGGTAGATATGAGGTAAATGATTTTCTCCAGACACGATAAGTTCGTTTGATCATGCACCAGCTAAAATATACACGGACTATTGTGCTGCGGTCGACACGCTGAGAAGACACCCACAAAAATGGATACTAACGCAAGATTAGAGAAGGAGTCTCATCATGGATAATTTTATAGTGACAAATCTCACGGGTGTTTGCACTGCTCAACCAGTTGTATTGTGCGCGATAAAAAGCTTTTTTGTTTAGAAGGATTGCCAGAAGTAGCGGACTATGTTTAGATTCAGAATTGCTATAGCAGGAATACCGGTAGACGCCCTTTCAAAAACGGCCACAGCTACGATCTGTGGACAGGTATGCACGCAGGTGCGCCATACACTATTATCTTTTTTGGCCATTCTATTACTTTTGAAAAGCTTGGAGTTGTGTTATAAGGTCTCTGCAATTTTCGTACTACTGCAGTATGATATGCGGAGAATCTTAGGGCGCACCAACGGCGATGGATCCCAAAAAGTCCGAAAATGAAAGATTGATGACATTTTATTTGTGGCGATTGCCGATGCTGCGACTGTGGGCTGTTCAAAGGTTCGCACCCTGCGCGCCCCCTTTTCTCTATGTTGGGAAAGAGTCAGTTCGATATCCGACGCAGAGTGTCAGGCAAACACATCACGTCGAATTGTACAGTTTATGATCTTGCATCTATCGATCTTTGAGCAATGGATGCAATGGCACCGGAAGCTCTCCTCACTGTATAACTTACAGCTGAGCCACAAGGAAGTGGACATGCGTGTGGAGCGACACCTCCGATTTGAGTTTGTTAAACTCAAAGCACGCCGTCGATTTCCTTCGGATTGTCGCCCTTCGACGTATGGGTTAACCCCTAACGCTCCCGTGAGCTCTTGTCTGCGACCAAGAGCTCAGGACCACTGCTTGAGCTCAACCCATGGCCCTTCATCTTCCCTGGCTATTGCTGGGAAGCGCGGGGCGTCTGATGACGCGGGGATTCCTGATCTTTCTGATCACTTCACCAGATATTGGGTTTGACCCTGGTGACGACGTCGTCTCACTAGACGTTTCACGTGATAGTGAACGTCACCGTTCTCATCGAGAAGAGTCGGTGGCAGGCGGTGACGACCGGGTCGACCGCCGTTCGGTGACTCGTGATGCGCTTCGAGCCTTGGAAAACGAGGTCCTTCGTGATCGAAGCTCCGCTGAGCGTCACGCTGAAGTAGCATATCGCTGTGCGGACGTTCGAAACGACTAAAGTACGACGTGCGCCGGCTGCCTCACCTTGAGGACTACCGCGATCTGCGGGGCAACTCCTAGCCGTGGAGCAGGCGAATGCGTCGCTGCATGCGACGGTGGAGCGCTTAGCGCCATTAGAAATGGAGGTTGTTGCACTC